AAATAAATGAAATAAAAATAAAAATAAAAATAAATAAATAAATAACAGTTGTCATATTTACGAAACAAAACCTGAGCATTCAACAATTCTTAACCAATTATTCTTACACAAAAACAGACGAAATCTTGCCTAGAGACTTGCACTCAATTCCAATAAAGTTGCAGCTGAAAACGTTTCCATTTAAGAGCATTTTTGTTGAGCATCTGAACAGTTGAACTAATGACAGGCTTTGGTGCTTTACCCAAGTGAAACGTGGACTGCACAGCCCGAGGGCGCTCGATAGCACTAAGTGCTCAATAGCAGGCGAAGCTGCAACATAAAACGATTTCACACGCACACACACACACACGCGCGGCAGGCGTGTGGGGCACAACCTCCTCAGAGGGAAAGGTGATTGCGACCAATGACCAGAAATGCACTTCGGACCGCTCTGTGGGGGAAAAAATGGCATTCTGTGGGTCAAATTGTAGCAGGCGCATCTGAGTTTTGGGATTCATTTTCCAGCCGCTGGTCCCGGCCCAAAGTATAAATTTTCGTATTTGTCCAGTGCTTCAAAGCGAAGCGCATTTAAAAAGCGTAAAGAAGGACCAGAAAAGGAGCCCCAAACAATTGGGCGAGCAATGGCAGGACTCGGGGTCTTGGGAATGGGACTAACAGTGCATTATCGAGAACACACTCAATTACTTATGTAAGCGCTGTGAATTTTCGTTGACGGCGGGGCCGACTGAGAACAATTGCAGCAGCTGCAGCTGCAGCTCGAGAAGAAGAAGAAAACCTGCGAAAAATGGTGAAAATTGCAAGGGAAGAAAATAAAATAGAATGAATTGTTTGACCCCAAAAGCGAAAAATGTTCGAGCTCAAATGTAAAAGGGGAAACTGCACTTGGAAAAATCTGCTATAGACTTTGTATGGAATAGGAAAGGAGGCAAAGGAAAAGGTGGTAAAGCCATGAAGGATGCAGATGGTATAAATAAATATTGGAGATTTTTTTTGACAGTGTATTGAGACAAATTCTTAGAAATTGTAGGATTTGTTTTGAGTGTGTAAGTGTATTTAAAATCGGTCCAGTTGGACAATGATTTGATATTGTAAGCATAATATAGTCAATCAAAGTAAAAATCCGCAGGAAAATTTATATTGTACATAGACATAAAGAAAAGTCAAATAACTTTGTTGCTAGGCAGAAAATAGTGAATGAGTAGTGAATATTTTTGTCAGTGTATTCACACACACACACGTCTGATATCATATGTGAATAAAACAAATGCTGCAAAAATCTAAAGTCAAGGCTGACTCAATAAAATTGGGCTAGATTTCTGCCAGTGTATCGACGCCCACGCTTAGAAAGTTGATGTGAAATTGAAGCTGCACTCAGAAAAATTGAAAACATACTCAGAGAACATAGCGAGGCTCAGGGCTGGCAGCACATCCCGAAGTGCGAACAATATTTAATGAATTTTTTATCAGTGTATTCACACACATGTCGAGGTATTTATTATATGGGGAGCTGGGAGCCGCAGTAGCAGTCGCAGTCGCAGTTTTTTCAGCCCAGACCGCATTTACATTATGCAAATGAGGTTCGAGACTAGCGGCAAGGATATGCATTTAAACGCTCGTAAATCAGGGCGAAAACAAAAGGTGGCCAATGTGTTGTGTGTGTGGCAGGTGGATGGGATGAATGAGTGAATGCGGGGGTGCTGGGCAGGCGGTAGTGGGGATTGTAGTGCATTGTGGACATTGTAAGACACGCGCTATTAATGCAGTTACATGGCCTATTAAAATTGCGCATAATTTGCATTCCGCAGACAACATCTTTGGGAAGTGCATTCCGACCACTGGAGTTGACGTCGAGGACATTGAGAAGTAATTATCCTTGTCGCAATTTGCATGCGAGTGCGACATGCTAATTGTATTGTCTGTCTGTTCGCAGGACACCACTCACCGAGGACCAATCACGTGTGCTGGCAACCATGCTGGAGGAGCTGCAGGGCGCCGGCCTAGGCTGGGACCATCAATACGTGCAGTGCCGCATCCAGGGAGCGCTCTTCTCGCTGCAGCGCCAACAGCAGCTGCCGCCGAACCTCTGCGCCAACTTGGCGCCAGCGCCACCCGACTATGGCGACCCGGCGAGCGCGTTAGCCTATGTGCGATTCACGCCGCCGGAGGCGGAGCAGCTGGAGTTGAGCAATGCGGACTACTTGGATCAGACGCAGCCCAGGCAGCAAGCGCAATTCTATCCAGCGATGCACAAGAAGCAGCCGCAGGACAGCGGCTTCAATAGCATCCTCCATCAGCTGCAGCTGCAGGATCGCCGTCGGCTGCGTCACGATCCCAGCGAGCTGGAGCACTTTGGCAAGCTGGACGGGCACATGAAGAACTCACAACTGGAGCTTCCGAGCGTGATGGATGCGTTTTTGGACACGGAACGGCAACGGATGGCGATGCGACTGGCCGAGCAGGACGCCAACTCGAAGGCAGGCAGTCCGCGCAATCGGCTGGAGCTCTACCAAATACTGGCCGCCTCCGAGCCCGATCCGCAGCCCTATCAGCGCAACCAACAGCCAGCCAATGCCATGGACGAGCTGGAGGCGATTGTGGAGCAGCAGCAGCAGCAGCAGCAACAACAGCAGTCGCAGTCCCAGGACCCGGATCCGCCGTCGGCCGCACCCGGATTTCTGCCCGATGAGCTAAACGAGTCCAGTGAGCTCTATTTCCCGGACAACTATGCGCCGTTCAAGCGTCGTGGACAGCAGCTTAAGCACTCCTTCTTCCGCGAATTGGCCAACGAGCAGGGCCTGGCCCAGGAGCCGTTGGCTCAGCTGGCTGTCCAGCCGGAGTTGATGAAGCGACGCCCCAGCGACAACGACGTCAATGTCCAGGAGCAGGAGCTGGCGTTCGAGACCAGCTTGCGCCGCAACTCGCTGACACCCCTGGAGGAGGAGGCCATGCTGGCATCCAACAGCTATCCGCGCGCCCTACACAACCAGCGCGTCTACACGGAGGGTGGGTTGCTGTTGGTGCCGCAGGACGAGCTGCAGCAGGACTCGGCGCAGGCGGACGAGCCAGCGAACATCAAGCAAGCGCTGCTGGCCAACATGCTGGGCTTTGCGCGTCACGAGCGACTCGATGTGAAGAAACCGGGTCCCCAGCTGGGTCCACCGTCCTCTGAGCATAGCAACCAAGTGGGTACTGAGAAGCCACAGCATGGCAAGGATGTCAACAAGGAGGTGCTGCCCGCTCACATCAAGGGCGGCGATGTCAACGAGCCGTTCAAGAAGAAGAAGGTCGTCAAGGAGCAGCACTCGGACGAGGATCATGCGCCGCACACCGTAGACACTGAATATGCACATGTGTTCGTGAAGAACCCGTAAGCTCAAGCTAACCAAAATCGAACTGGAATTCCCCGAATTCAACTTTTTCTTTCCACGCAGCATTGACAGTTGGTACGATGGGCAGCGCATCATGAATGAGCTGGCGCAAATACTACACATGCAGGGATACTTTTCTTATTTAACGTAGGTTCTATGATCATTAGGTCTCAATTACTATTGATGATAGCTCTCATCTCATTGCTCTGCAGCGTTCAACCGCACGAAGTCAGCTTCCGGGTGGACTCAAACAACCCCGAGCGCAAGACGGCCGCTGATGTAGCTCGCTACATCAATGAGAACCGCGGCGTCAAGAACAACATCCAGCGACGCGTCGGCTTCTATGTGCTGCACGCCGGCGTCGGCGATCGGGTCAAGGATCTGCGCGATTCGAGCATCTCTGCGTCGCCCATTGAGCTGGCCGAGCAGGGGCCGGATGTGACCCACATAATGGCCTACATGTTCGCCGGTGCAGGCGCCGCGGCTGTGATTGTGATCTTTGTGACGCTCATTCTGATCAGGCGGCACGATCGCAAACGCGACAAGCTGGGCGGCCTGCAGACGGGCATGTCGGGTGCGGAAAGCTGCAGCAAAGACTATCAAGAGCTCTGCCGCGCACGCATGGCCGGAAAGAATGGCAACACAACGACTGGCAGCGCTGGTGGTGGTGGTGTCGGCGGCGGTGCCAATGCCACCGATCAGGCCCACAGCGGACGCATCACCTCGCTGAGCAAGGAGAACGAGGGCCGGCCGCCATCATCACGCTCCAGCACATCATCATGGAGCGAGGAGCCAGCGTTGACGAACATGGACATCTCAACTGGACACATGGTGCTGGTGAGTAGAGAAACGCCTTGCTGTCCACCCATCTGTCCGTCCATCTGACTACTCCAATGGGAGTGCGGTAAATCGAGGAGAACTACATCTTCTAATCTAAACTCTCTTTCTGCAGTCATATATGGAGGATCATCTGCGGAACAAGGGTCGATTGCAGCGTGAGTGGGAGGCGCTGTGCCGTTACGAGGCCGAACCTAGCGCCCGAGATGCCGCCTCCCAGCCGCAATGCGCCAACTTGAATCGACCCGGCGCTCCGCTGCCCTACGATCACTCGCGGGTAGTGCTCAACCATCTGGCCAATGCCGAGGGACTGGACTATGTGAATGCTTCAACTATTGTGAGTAGAGATGACTTAGACTTAGAAGTGAATTCCCTTAAAGCTCGTTATATTTTGATCTCAACCCGCAATCAGACCGATCACGATCCTCGTGCACCCGCCTATGTGGCAGCCCAGGGGCCCTTGCCCTCGACCTTGGCGCACTTTTGGCAAATGATTTGGGAGCAGGGCGCTGTTGTCATAGTTGCCCTCTGTCGCCTGCAGGAGAATGGAGAGGTGGCCTGTGCGCGCTACTGGCCGGAAGAGGGTGCGGAGGTTTATCACATCTATGAGGTAAGCGCACTCCGACCGACTCCTTTTGGCAACAAAAACTAAACTAAGCTCTGTTCGCCTTAGGTTCACCTGGTTAGTGAGCACATCTGGTGTGATGATTACCTCGTACGTTCTTTCTACTTGAAAAACTTGCGCACTAGCGAAACACGCACCGTGACCCAGTTCCACTTCCTGTCCTGGCCGCAGATGGGCGTGCCGCCGCAAGCGAAGGCGCTGCTGGACTTTAGACGGTGAGCTGCTAAGGATCTCGTATATATTTTCTCTTTGTATTAACTCTCCTGGGCCTTGCAGCAAGGTGAACAAGTCGTATCGTGGTCGCTCCTGCCCCATTGTGGTGCATGGCAGCACTGGCGCCGGACGCACTGGCTCCTACATACTGTTGGATCTGGTGCTGGGACGCATGAACAAGGGCGCACGCGAAATAGACATTGCCGCCACACTGGAGCACCTGCGGGATCAGCGAGCTGGCCTGGTGGCCACGCGCCAGCAGTTCGAGTTCGTGCTGATGGCCGTGGCCGAGGAGGTGCATGCGATACTGAAGGCTCTGCCGGCGAACACGTCGGGCGAGAAACGTGAGCTGGACAAGGACAATGGTGCCACCAAGGAGCCGCTCAAGGAGGACAAGGCACAGGAGGCTGCCGAAGAGGAAGCGCCGACCAGCAGCAGCAAAGCAGCAGCAGCAGCCGCCGCAGCCAAGGAGAAGGGGCAGGCCAAGGAGTCCACTCCCAAGGACGCCAAGGCGTCCGCTGAGCAAAAGAAGAAATAGGCGCGCAGATAAAAAGCAAAACAACAAAACCAAAAGAAACCAAAAACAAAGAAATAACCAAAATAATAATTCTTTAGTTTACATCACGTTTGTTGCAGCGTTTCGGGGGTCTAATTTAGTTGTTGTAGCTAGTATTAAAGTACACACATTGTTTTCATGCAATTTATGTTGAAAGGTCTAAGCACTTGGAAGGTTCGAAAAGGGCTCAACATGGTCGGCCAGAGTTGGATACGCATTAACTGTTCAGTTATTATTTAAAAACAAAATTTAAATATATATATATATATGTAAAGAACTATATGTATATGTATATCTTAAGCCTATGTTCAGCACAAATTGCACCAAGTGAAAGAATAACCAAATAATTTTATAGCGCTTGCAATGCTGCCACAGAGCTTGCCCCATCGCCAGCATGCTGCAACGGGTTCGCACACCAGCCCGTGTCATCCGTTGAGAGCGTCTCTGGCTGGGGTCAACTCAAGCTTGTGGTCGCATTCGGCGCGCCGCACATATATTTCTATCAAGTACATGAATATATATAAAACGTATATAAAAGTATGGGAAAAACATTATTTGAGTGTTATATACAAGACAAATATTTATATATATATATGTATATAAGAGAGATTCTGCGCGTTATTTGTAAGACTCACACACACAAACACACATACACTTTGACTGCCTGTTTGTGTTT